ATATTGGCGCAGTATGTATGCTGTTCCTAATATTGCCGGTTTTTGTACCTGATGGTATTATTTCTGAGATCTGCAACTGCTTATAATACTATGTGAAATTTCTTGATATTATTCCCAAAGCCCCAATGACTACAGGACCACTGACATATGTTTCATCCCCAAGCAAGATGTTTCGATTTGCCGGGTCTCTGAATTTTGTTAGTTTTTCCAATTCATGTTTTCAACTCTGGCATCCCCAGGAATTGCCATGTCAATGATCTGGACATTTTTTTTATTCTATTACTACTGTGTCTGGTGTGTTATATTCAAGGTAACAGTTTGGATCTGGAAAATCCACAGGTTCTTGACGTCATCATTTTCTGAAACCTTCTCTACCTGGTGTTCCAATGGGTTTTTGGAAGCTGGCAAGTTATATTTTTTTTTGCTATAAGTCAGAATTGACAGCACATAATTGTTGCTGTTGTTCCAGCTACTATTGCTGGAAAAAGTAGGTATATGGAACAAAAGATTTCTCTGGGAAGTGCTCCTGTTCAGTGTTCCAGCCCCCCAGTCTCTTCCCTGAGATATTTCATTCTGTGCCCCCTCCCAGTTTTCCCACTTTCCCCCACCAGCCAGCTTTCCGTGACTGATCAGTTCCTATTAGTCTGATCTGGTCTGCTTTCTCTGTCTTTCTCTTAAGAAGTTGTTTTTTTTTTCCCCCTTTCCAAAATTGTATGCTCCTGCAAACTTTACAGTTTTCCCAGTTTCACCCTTGCAGATGGTGCTATTGTGGCTACATAAGGATCCACGCTTGGATGATCTTCACTGTATTAATAAGTTAGTGATGGCAATGATGATTACACAGTGATCTTAATTTGATTTCTACCCCAACTTGTGTCTTTTTTTTTTAAACCACCCAAAGCAAAGTAAATAAAATCAGAAAAATACAGAGCAAGAAAATGTCATTAAAAAAAAAACAAATATCAGCGATCACATCACAAGCAAAAAAAAAAAAAAAGTTTCAGCCATTTGAGATCACTACAAAACACATAATAAAATCAAGATTCTTCAAAAGATTTACCTTCCTAAAATAAAATAAATAATGTGCTGGCTTTTTCAGCATTTGGACTGCAGGTAAAGTGATTTTTAAAAATTTTTCCTCCACGAACAGTTTTGTTTCTGACTGCTTTTTTTCACTGTGCCCATGTTGTATTTTTAAGTCCTTCCTTGGAACTGCTATTCTGTTCCTCTGATTATTGTTTTTACGGTTGACAGTGTTATCTGCCTTGAAAGTCTCTGGACCAAGAGACACAGTACAGGAAATCAATAAATAAAAGCAGAGAAAGGTTTTAGGGGGTTGGGAGAGCCATTCCAGCGATGCCCCCTTTAACAGCTGGATTTCACCTCACCATTGCAATCTTTTCTCTTGCCTCTGGGAACAAAAAGAGTGAAAAAGAAAGACACAGGACACAGCCAGCAGGACAGGAAGATGGCAGCTGACATTTGGAAAGAAGATATGATGAACTTTCCAGTTGTCTGCAAGGCAGAAAAAATCTCCAATTCTGCTCTTCCCCACCTCCACCCCCCACCCCCATTTGCCTGGTAGTTCAGTCTGTCTGGTTCAATGCAAGCCAGAAATCTAGGACAGTTTATTTTTATTGAGACAGAACTTTACATCCATTCTGTCTCTTGCGTGCGGATCTGTGCATTCTCCTTATAATTCTTCACAGAATCCCCAAACACAGTGGCTCATTCTTGGGACAAAGGATTCTGGGAATCCAGATGGAGGACAAAGCCAGGTGGACATAGTAAAACATTACTCAATAATTGCATGTGATTTTGGGAGGTGTTTGGGAAAGTTACTGTTTTGGGACAATAAAGCCCAGAATCCACTTACCAGCATATCCAGTGGTAAGGGGATTATGGGAATAGTAAAAAAGGTACCTTCTCCAAGCTATGGGTCTGGAAGAGAATGAAAATTCCCAGCATAGTAATTGCATCTTGTTTCAAGTCTGTTATCTCCAAGCAAAGCATGCTCATAGGTTAAACCAGGCTCCCAGTAACCAAACCAATACCATCCAGATATGCCACATTCCATCATTGCAAACTACAAAACATGTATCACATTTTACAGTGGGGGAACCCTGAAACCAAAATGCAACAAGCCCATTTCAGCCCGTGCATCCGTGGCAGCTTATTTCTGTGCCTCTACTTCATTTCAATCCGCACTCAGTCCTTGCATGCCAAGAATGCAGATACAGTTGTAAAGTGCAGAATGCAGAAATGTGCACTGTGTACAGTACTTTGCAGTGCCGTCTAAAGAGGACCCTTGCAAAGCCGTTGTTCTCCCAAGTCTAAACAAATCAAAAGAGAGAGGTGTTGCCATCCAGATGTTGTTGAGTAGCAAACTCCATCACTATTGGCTATTCTGTCAGAGGAGCTGAAGTCCAGTAACATCAGGTGGGCCATACATTCTCCATTCCTGGCCTGATCCAGTGACACCACAGGTTGAAGTAAATAAAGGTGGCTTTCTCTTCTCTTTTAGGTAAGACCATCTTTCATTTGAAGAGCTGTCAGCACACATTGTCCTAAAATAATAGGGAGGGAGGTAAAGTCCACAATGAGCACCGGAACAGCAGATTCAACAAACACGCGTTATCTGGCCGGCGGCTTCCTCATTGCAGTAAGTTACACTATAGTGTAACTTACTGCAGTGTGTAGTATAGTGTAAGTTACACTATAGTACTGTACTGTATAACTTACACTGAAACAGTGCCGTCTACGTTGGCTTGGGCACGTCGTGAGAATGGCTGATGGTCGGATTCCAAACTATCTCTTGTATGGAGAATTAGTGCAGGGAAACCGCCCCAGAGGGAGACCACAGATGCGATACAAGGACATCTGCAAGCGGGATCTGAAGGCCTTAGGAATGGACCTCAACAGATGGGAAACCGTGACGTCTGAGCGTTCAGCCTGAAGGCAGGCGTTGCATCATGGCCTCTCCCAATTTGAAGAGACACTTGTATAGGAGGCCGAGGCAAAGAGGCAGTCCCGAAACAAGCAAAACCAGGGAGCTGGACAAGGGACAGATTGTACTTGTCTTCAAGGTAGAAGAGATTGTCATGCTCGAATTGGCATTCTCGGCCACACTAGACGCTGTTCCAAGACCTCCATACAGAGCATGTTACCATAGTCTCTCGAGACTGAAGGATGCCTACTACTACACTATAGTTCTCTTTAAATGATAAAAATAATGTATAATTTTGCATCTGTAAGTATTCATTAGCATATGCTATTTTATATGAAACTGTGACCTCTTTTGTCTTCCTTTTTGATGAGATGTGATTGCTCCGTTTGAGACGCATACACTCTAGCGTAGCTCACAAGGCCTGTAGAAGCACCATTTTGTTGCAGGAAAGGAATTGTATACAGTACTGTACATACATACATACATACATACATACAGCCATCTGAATGAAAAACGCTTTTCAGTGGCTTGCTGTTAAACTTGCAGTTAAGATCCCTTAGGTATACAAAAGATCTGTTCGTGGTGGGTACAAAAAGTGCTGGAACTGGTTAGTTAATATGTATTAATACCATTGTGGTTTTTTTTTTTTATTCTTCTCAGCATGTGGCTATGGGGATGGCACTTCTAAATGTACATTAGATTACTAGTGTCAGCAGTACAGACTAAAGGTCTTGCTCAACCTAAGACTTTTTGCTGACTAAGGTGAATCAGCCAATGGTGGTTCCACTCATTAACAATTACAGTATAGTGTTATAAGCCTCTACATTCTAATGCTTTTATTCAATTTCACAATTCCAGTCAGGGTTTCAGTGCCTTCAATCTGAATTTGTCTTCTTGACTGATTAAATTCAATATGTCCAATTGTGCCCGTTGGGTGTCCAAAAATTAGGACTGAGTAATCATCTGGTTTCAAAACAATTGTTTTTAAAAAATAACTTGCCCACCCACCCGTGAAGGTACATAATACCCAAATGATGTTATGCTTAGAATTTTGTACAGTATGTACTATGGATTCAAACTCAACCCTAACGCTGACCTTGGACCAGTCACAAACTATCAGCCGTGGCCTACCTCACAGGGTTATTGTGAGAATAAACATGGAAATCACCCCATTGGCGAGCAAATCATCCACTAGAAGCATGGCCTTCTTTGTGATGGCACCAACACTTTGAAACCACTGGCCAGTGGGGCTGCCCTCTCCCTACCAACACTGAAAAGACTCTTGAAAACACTGCTTTATAGCGAGGCAACCTTTTGTTTACCTGCCCGGTTCTGCATTTTATTTTGGAATTTCTTCCTTTTTCCGGTGTTGTTGGAATCTTGTTTTACGCTATTTTACTTGTTGTTTTTAGACAACCATAAACCACCCAGACTGTTAGTGTAATGCACACAGTATACAAATTAAAGACACACAAAGAGAGAGATGGGGGACCACATAAGCAGCCTTTAGCTTATGGAGCAGGAACAGAAGGCTGTACATACAACTAATAACGGCTCAGTGAGTTGGGTGAGTGATGGAGGCGGAGGTTGCAAGTTCAATTCCCCACCGCCTTCTGGTGAGAAATCCCACCTCTGTAGCCTTGGGCAAGCGGCAACGTCCCAAAGTGGCTCCAGAAAAGGGGAATGGCAAACCACTACTGAATATTTTGTACTTTAAAAAACCCCGGAAAGGCTCGCTTTAATGAAGAATCAACTTGAAAAGACGTAATTGTTAAGTAAAATACATATACTGTATTTATCAAAGTATTTTGGCACGTAAAACACCCCCCCATCTCTCCCCTTCCCTGGAGATTAAAAAGTAATAACACATCCAATAATTTTTGCTCCCTTTTCACGACAACCCTTTCCCTTGCAACCTGAAGCACCCACCGCGCCCTGTTTGACTAAACCGGTGTTAAACCGGCGCCTAAGGAAGACACCGAAGCTCCTCGCATCATCTTCAGCAGGAGTGGCCAGCAGGGGGCGCCCGGGGGCCGTTCCCGTTCCGACCGAGTCTCCTCCCTTTCCTTTGCACGTGGTTCGCGGTGGCCGCTTCCAGAAGCTTTCTGCGCCGGGAACGTGTCCCCTTCCTTAGGTGGTGGGTGTCGGGGAGGGGGCGGCGGTGGGGGCTAAGCCCCGGGGAACCAGGTAAGGGGTGACACGGGGGAAAGAAGGTGGAGAAGATCGTTGGATCGGAGGAAGGAGAGGGGGAAAAACGGGCTGAGTGCTGCTGTCGGGCCCTTGCGGGTGGGGAGGCTAAGGAGGAAGGGAAACAAGAGTTAGGGAGACCTGGGGTGGGTGGGTCTTGGGCGGATTCAGGCAGCAAAAGGATAAGGGGGCGGAAATGGAGGGGGTTTATTCGGGGTTTGGGGGACGAGGCATGGAGAAAACTCCCGAGCAAGCCAAGTTGGGGATGATGGGAGGTGTCGTCACTTCCCCTGCCTTGGCCTCGCCCGGGGATCCTCCAGACGTATGGGACAACACCTCCCATTATCCACAGCCGGCTGTCGTCCCATGTGTCTGGAGCATCGCCCAGTAAGGCGAGGCTGGAGTATCTGGAGATAGGAAAGGAAGCCACATGAAAAGTGATCAGAGCTCCTTCCTGGTGGTTGAGTGGAAGAAGGGATTTTCTCATGACCAGTTACTGAAACTAGTAAATAATTGAAACTGCAGGAGTCTGATCCTCTTTTCCTTGTGGTTATTCTACAGCCCAGTCCTCCTCCTCAGATGGCCTTTAACTCTTTCGGAAAACACTACAATTATTTGTTGATATAGTGATAGTTTCCCTTATCTCCTAGGTAGGATATGCCTTATCTGATAACTTTCCTTATAGTGAGATTCTTTCTGTCAAATTATACTTCAAGATTTGTATAATGCTTTCCAGTGTTTTTAGGGTATGGGTATAGTCCCTGTAAAGTTGATTGCAATTATTATTTTATTATTATTTCTCCTCCTTGCAGACAGTTGATGGATTGAGAGAGTGTTTTTCTCGAAGCCAAATGGAGAATTTTGTTTTGTGACTGAGAGGAGATTTGAAACCGGGATATTCCCAATTTGTTTACCAGGCTCTTAGGCATGGTGCTACGTTGGAACAGGCCCGAAGGGCAGAATAGGGAATTGCAACCCTGGAATAGGAAGAGGGAGAGCTTGGTTTAGGGATTTTGGGAGCTGTAGTCCATAAAAGTGACTTTCCCAGGCTTTGGCAAAACATCCTTAGAAGCACTTGGAAGGAGGGCCAAGAAGCTCCTGACCCAAAAGAGACAGGCTGAGAGTGAGCCACTGATCAACCCATATGCTTCTTGGCTGACTTAGGATTTGAACCTGGGTCTCTCAAGTCCTAGTTTGACATTCTGGATATGGCATTAGGCTGACTGTTGACAGTGGACTGAATTATCTATCCCTTGACTGAAGGCAGAGCTCTTTGCTGTACCATATCTGTAAAAATTGTTTCATTGTAAGATATTAAATCCCCAGTAATTTCCATGATAATGTGAAGTTTGCAGTCCTGAAGATGGACTAGGGCTTGTACTTGACCTAGAAGTAAGTATAGTGCAATCCAGCGTATTGGTACAGCACTAGAAACATTGGCATTCACATCCCCACAGAGTGACCATGGACTAACCGGTCTCTCTCGGCCCAGCTTACTCTTTGGAGTTATGGTCAAGAAGATGAATACAGGAAGGGAGAGCCAGAGTCTTCCATGCTGTCCTGAGGGTCTTGGAGGAAAAATATAAGAGGTGGAGTGGGGTTGAGCGAATGTAATAATGGTGCCTCGCTTAACGATTGCCCCGCATTATGACAACTCCGCTTTACGACGATCTTTTTGCGATTGCAAAAATTTCACCAGTCAGCATGACTGGACTATAGCCTTGCAATTTATTGGGATTGGGAATCACTGATTTATACCTTCAGACTTGGGTTGCTTTATTATCTGTGTGCCTGTGGGTTCATGAAGCTTGTGTTTTGAATGCCTTTCTTTTGAATGTCTCCAGCAAAAAAAATGGGTGCACTTGATGATTCTACGGAGGTTCTCTGACACCCCAACTCCCCCTTGTACTCATCCCTTTCTCTGCTCTTTCTTTTCAGGTTTCGTGAGAGGCCATCAGGCTGAGTGGTGGAACTGTGCTCTTTCTCTCCCCAAGCATGGCTGAAGGAGGCGCTGGTGGGAACCAGCCGCCGCGTGAGCATCCCCACAGCCTCCAGGGCTTGCTGCAGATGGCAGTGACAGCAGGAGGAAACGCTGAGCCTGCTCCGGTGGAGCCCATGTCTGATGAGGTGCTTGGCTTCCCTTTCCAGGAGGGGGCATGTGGTCAAGTGGTTATACAGTGGTGCCTCGCATTACGGCATTAATTCATTCCAGCAAAATCGCTGTAGAACGAAAACGTTGTAATGCGTAAATAAAAAGCACATTGAAACCCCTTCAGTGCGTTCCAGTGGGCTGGAAACTCACCGTCCAGCGAAGATCCTCCATAGGGTGGCCATTTTTGGTGGCTGTCTTGTGAGGAATCCGTCCCAGAAAACAGCGGGGAGCTATTTTATTTACCCGGCGGCCATTTTGAAACCACCGATCAGCTGTTGGAAAATCGTAGTTTTCCGAAGAATTGGTTCCCAAAGCAGGGAACCGATCATCATAAAGCAAAAAAACCCTATTCAGGCCATTGTTTTGCGATCGCAAAAGCTATCGCAAAAACGTCATCGTAAGGCAGTTTCGTCGTAATGCGGGGCAATCTTAAAGCAGGGCATGACTGTATCTCAAGAATGAGGTGTAAGGCCTCTTGCTGGAGATTCTTGCTTTCCTAAGCAACAAAAGCAAGATCTTAGCATGCTAGAGCTAGAGAGTTATTTGGAGAAACTGAGAATTAAGATTTTCTAGAGAGTGACAGGTTAGTTTGCATAAGAAACAGGCTAGGAAGGAGAGGCTTCATCCTGTGCTTATATAGATTTTTTATTAAGTTTTTATTTAACTTATGTGCCCCAGGATGGACATTTTCATCCCAAAGAGACAAAGGGTTCTACAGAGTCTCTATAGAAGCGGGCTTGCTTTAACATCATCACCTGCAAAGTGAGAAACTGTGTCTCTAAATTTCCAACCACTTTTAAAGTTTTTTTTTGTTTTGTTGCACCTACAAATCTATTCCTTTGTTTGTTTAATTGATATCCTGCCTTTCTCCCAATAAAGGGACTCATGGCAATTGACAGAATATTTAAAAGAAAGCCCGGCTAAGAAAATACTATTTGTGAATGTGAAGAAAACCGTGAGACCATATTAGTGAAATGAATAAAAGCAATTGAAAAACACACAAAGCTAGTTTTAAAAGTTTTTTTAAAAAAAAGGTACAGCATGCTCCATTAAAGTTCTTTTCTTGACTATCAATGCCAGCCAAAACAAAAACGTATGAACAGAAATGTGTAAGTCTATTGTGAGTTCAAGGCAATGTCCACGGTTGAGGAATTTGCTAGACAATGACTTTTTTAAAGCAATGTTATGCTTCACAAAACAATTGTTCCTATGGGCAATTTTCACTGGACAATGTTTGGGTCCTTGCCTTACAAGTCAGTTTTTTTCTGACTCTGTTTTGCAAGACGGTTCTTCCCTCCCCATTAAAGCACATTAATTACATAAGACCTACTTTTTTATCCCAAAAAAGTGGGGGAGAAAGTGTATGCTGCTGGCTTTCTAGGGTCTGCCTCCTAGAAAAACAGCAACATACATTTTTCCCTCATAATTTTGGAATAAAAAAGTAGGTCTTGTGTAATTAATGTGATTCAGTGTGGGGGGAACCATCTTGCAAAGCATCACCAATGGGGCTATGGCTGCAAATTTAAGAGGATGGTGAATATAGCCAAGAACCAAAGGGTAAAAAAGTTATATAAAAAACAGGGAAATCAAATGTAATCTCCCATTAACACAAACTATGCAGTTGAGTTCCCCACATTTGGGGAAATCACAGGGATCAGCAGCACACCCAAATTGCAATGGATGAGCCTCCCCCTAAGAAACCACTTTTATTACATGGTATTTCCCCTGCAAGGTATGAGTTGGAATGGCCCTTGCACCTCATCCCCCCTTCTGTCCCCTGCCCCCCCAAGTCATGGTGACCCCCTGGCTGCACCTCCCACTCAGTACAGGGCTGCACAGCCCCAGTCCTGCCGGAGGCCAAGAGAGCTCCTCAGTGTTTTGGGGTGCCCTGCGGGACCCCCATCAGGGGCTAGGTGTTCCTCCCACAATCCTCTTGTGCACAGGGAGGTGCATATGCTAATACCTTATGCTAATTGTGGGCGGAACACCTAGCATTAGCTAGGTGTCCCTCCCACAATCCTCTAGTGCATAGGTATTAGCATACCTGTGCACAAGAGGATTGTGGGAGGAACACTTAGCCCCTGATGGGGGTCCCGCAGGGCACCCCAAACACTGAGGAGCTCTCTTGGCCTCTGGCAGGACTGGGGCTGTGCAGCCCTGTACTGAGTGGGAGGTGCAGCCAGGGGGTCACCATGACTTGGGGGGTCAGGGGACAGAAGGGGGTTAGGGAAAATGCTGTGTCATAAAAATGGTTTTCCCAGGTGGAGGCTCATGTATTGTACTTCAGGTGTGCTGCTGATCCCTGTGATTTCCCTAAATGTGGGGATCTCAGCTGCATAGTTTGTGTTAATTATAGAATTACATTTATGATTTCCTACTTTATCCTTTGGTTTCTGGCTATTTTTACGTTTGTGTTAATGATAGAACTACATTTATGATTTCCGTCTTTATCCTTTGGTTTCTTGCTATTTTTACCACTCTCTATCGTTTAAATTTGCAACCATAACTCCATTGGCAATGCTTTGCAAGATGGTTTCACCCCCCAATTAGAACACATTAATTGCATAAGACCTACTTTTAGAACACATTAATTGTATAAGACCTACTTTTTTATCCCAAAAATGTGGGGAAGAAAGTGTATGCTGGTGTTTTTCAAGGAGGCAGACCCTGAAAAGCCAGCAACATATACTTTTGTCCCAGCAGCATATACTTTTTTGGGATAAAAAAGTAGGCCTTATGTAATTAATGTGTTCCAATTGGGGGGGAAACTGTCTTGTGAAACAGTGTTTGAAAAAAAAAAACTACTGCATCTTGCAAAGCAAGGATCTAAACATTGTTCAGCGAGAATTGCCCATAGGAATTCTCTTGCCAGGCACCACTGTATTGGATTGCTCTGAAATGTAAATAAAAATGAAATGAAGCAGGCAACTGAATCTGGCTGAGTAAAGGCTAAATCAGGTATGGCAGGACTGCAGCATCCACATGATCAGTACGTGCAGTTTCACATATCCATTGCCTTAAAAAAAAACCCCACATAAAAAACACCCAGAAATACATATTCCCACAGTGTATTACCAGGCCTAATCACTAGGTGGAACCAGAGGCCATGCTATATACAGGTGGCTTAATGGAAATACATCCATGGCCTGACATCTTGGAGGGAAATAGCTTCCAGCAAAATGGAAGAGCTGCAGGGGGGAGGCAGCAATTGCTGTTTTCAGGGAAGGTTTCCCTGTGAACAGGAAGGCAGAAAACCCAGTCCTTTGGCAGGACTGGGCCACAGCGCCCTCTCTTAACCGTGCGCAGACACCAGAGAAACTGGAAGTAAGTGTTTTTGTTTATCCGCTGATTCTGGCATCTGCACAGGAGGGGGCTTAGAACTGATTTTAGAACTGGATATTGCTGTTCTACTGTACAAGTTATTCAAAGCACAGAAAGTTGTATCACGAGGATGTAGGAGTCCTCTAGGAGAGGTCTTGAATCTAATAAAGAGTGTAGAAGGCAGGGCTTATAATTTTCTTTTTTTCTGGGATACAGGGGGGAACTCCTGATAGTGACTCTTTTCTGTCATTTCCCCTCCCTTTGCCATTCTCTTACTTCCGATGATGATCCCTCCAGCGGAGACAGTGGTTGCAGGAGGCGATGGCGGAGGCCTTTCAGGGGCAGATGGACGAGGTGGAACAAATGAAGGAGTGCCTGCAGCTCCTGGAAGCCTCGAGTCCTGGGGTAGAGCACGGAGAGAGTTCAGAAGAAGCTCATTCGGACCTTGAGCGAAGAGAGGCTGCCTTAGATCTGTTGGCGGAGTTGTGTGAAAACCTGGATAACGCGGCAGGTACGGAAATGGCCTCATTCCTGTGCACGTGTTCAGTGGATGGGGAGTCCTGTGGGGCTCCTCGTGTGCCACACTTTGGGCCAGAGCTCAGGAAAACTTGCTCTTTTGGACTACAGCGCTCAGAATCCTCCAGCTGCCCACCTTCGGTGTTGTAGACCATGCTGGTTTTATATTCAGAATGTAAGCCGCCCAGAGTAGATTCATTGAATCTAGATGGGCGGGGTAAAAGCCGGAAAAATAAATTCCATTGTACAGTAATTTATTCAGTGGCCAAAAAACAAAACATCCCCCCCCACTGTTCAGAAGCTCTCACATGGTTTATCCAAAACAAAGACCTCTCTTCCACAACCATATGTTACTCTCTCCGATTCTGAGCATTCATAAAACCCAACCTTTGGTGTCTTGGAAGGCAAATATAATCCGATGCTTCTTAAGGCTTCCCATTGTTCTGAATCACAAGGTTGAGGGCCCTGTGGGATTCCAAGAAGTGTGGAACTCCTATCCCATCCAGCCCTGGCTAGCCTGGCAGGTAGTCACATGTGATGGGATCGGTAGTTCATCAATGCCTGGAGGCCCATACATGCCCCTTTCTTGCTTTACAGAGTTAGGTCAACTCCTAATGCTCAGAGAATTAGGAAAAGTTAAATTTGTGTATGGAAGTGAGAGCTGGACCATAAAGAAAGCAGACCGCTGAAGAATTGATGCCTTTGAATTGTGGTGCTGGAGGAGGCTCTTGAGAGTCCCCTGGACTGCAAGGAGAACAAACCTATCCATTCTGAAGGAAATCAACCCTGAGTGCTCACTGAAAGGACAGACCCTAAAGCTGAGGCTCCAATACTTTGACCATCTCATGAGAAGAGAAGACTCCTTGGAAAAGACCTTGATGTTAGGAAAGTGTGACGGCAAGAGGAGAAGGGGACGACAGAGGATGAGATAGCTGGACAGTGTCTGCGAAGCAACCAACATGAAATTGACACAACTATGGGAAGCAGTGGAAGATAGGAGGGCCTGGCGTGCTCTGGTCCATGGGGTCACGAAGAGTCGGACACAACTAAACAACAAATTTGTGCTATGTTGGCTGGAGGTGTAGTCAAAAAAGTAACTTTTTCAAACACTGAAAGGTGTTGAAGGGTATCCCAAGATCACATGGTGGAAGGTAAAATAATGTCTCTCCCTGACCTCAGATGACCTTAAAGCCAGTCAGCAGAGCAGGCAGGAGATTTCAAGATCTTTGGTCAGTAACAATGGACAGCCTGCTTTATGTTAGCACATTCTCTCTTCTTCTAGACTTCTGCAAGTTAGATGGCATGCGTCTGCTGGCACACCGCTACCTGGAACACGAGCAGACTTCTGCAAGTTAGATGGCATGCGGCTGCTGGCACACCGCTACCTGGAACACGAGGAGGAAGGACTGCGTTGGCGAGCAGCTCACCTGGTGGGCACCTGTGCCCAGAATGTGCCCATAGTACAGGAGCAGGCCTTGGCACTGGGCTGCATGAGGAAATTACTACGGCTCTTGGATCATGATCCGAGTGAGGCTGTCCGGATCAAGGCACTCTTTGCTATATCTTGTGAGTTGGGGGGTCAGGTCAACAGACCTGTTTGTTTTCTTGCACTTTTTGTTTTCCACAAAAAAATGAAGTAAAATGAATCAACAGCATGTCAAGTGACTAACATTAATCTCAGTCACTCGAAACTTTATGGTTTATGGCTATAGGCCTTTACAACACACAACATAGGAGATGAAAAGAAGTCCCAAGTTTTAAAAGCATACATTTTAGAATGACATGTTTTTAAATATGCCCTTCTTTGGGCAGCTCCAACTAAACTATAGACCATTAAATTAAATAGCATTAATAAAATTAATCTTGTAGCTGTGGCAGTAATGAGCTGCCCCTCTTTTTTTTAATGCTTTACAAAAAGCTGTACAAGAAATTGCTTTTAGAAAGTAAATTTCCAAGCTCTGCTTCTATATATATATCCAAATAGTTGGATAATATTGTAATCCGTTGTTTTCCTGCTAAGAGTAGCTAGTAAAACACATGCCACAAAGTGCATTAGGCGTACCAGAAGGTTTTGTTGGATTTTACACCCAGTCAGCTAATCAATGGGAGTTGTCTTTTTGGGTGCATAGGCCTAAAGATTGAATGTTATAGTAACTACATTTTAAAAAATGACCCACCCAGATGTTTTCAGTCATACATTACACTTCTCTGGTGTAAAGTACAGTGGGGTCTTGACTTAAGAACGGCTCGAGTTAAGAACATTTTGACTTAAGAACCACTCTCATAGGAAAATATTGACTTGACTTACATACTTAGATTTGAGTTAAGAACTGAAAAAAAGCCACGTGGGAGGCAGGGAAAGTGCAAAATTTGAACTTTCAGTTAATTGTTGGCTAGCGAAAAGGGTGCCTGTCTGCTTCCTCACTCCTCCCAGCGTTTAGAGAGTGGATTGGGAGTCTTCAGACTGCCTGGTACTGCCTGGACTGTATTTTCCCTGCCTTCCCTGAACCTTTCTTGACCTAAGAAAAAAAGGAACAAAATATCCCCCTCTAGTGGTCGAAGGCAGAATAGCAGCTTCCCATTAGTTTCTATGGACGGAAAAGAGCAGATACGGATCAAATGGTTTTCAATGCATTCCTATGGGAAATGCAGATTTGACCTGAGAACTTTTTGACTTGAGAACCGCCTTCCAATACAGATTAAGTTCTCAAGTCAAGACCCCACTGTACCCTGTTAGTTATCATCGGCTCGTCATTGTAGTCTGCTTTAGGTGCTCATTGTGAGGCTATCTACTTAAAGGTTGATAGAGTCAGTGGGATACAGTGGCCACTGTTTTCAGCAATAACAGCAGCATGATAATATTATGTTTTACTGCTATTTGCAGGAAATTCTCAAAAAACGTATTTATTCACCTGTTCTTGCCTATAACATTCTCATTCGTAGTGCACTCTCATCATTAATATTCTTCCCATTCTTTTCATCCTCATCTACCTCTTCCTTTCTCTCTCTGTCTCTCTCTCTTTCTCCTCTCTCTTAACTTTTCTTGTACTGCCAGGCTTGGTTAGAGCCCAAGAAGCCGGCCTGCAGCAGTTCTTACGTCTGGACGGGTTTTCAGTCCTCATGAGGGCCATGCAGAGCAAAGTGGAAAAACTCAAGATAAAATCTGCTTTCCTCCTACAGAACCTTCTCATAGACCATCCAGAGCAGAAAGGTGAGAAAAACTTTTCATTGTTGTTTGCAATAAACTGAGGGGTGGGGGCGGCGGCAGGCGACTTCATGAGTTCTCATTCAGGAACCTAGCAGAAACTTCAGTAAGTCTTTCAACGCTGGTGATATTTATGGCATTTAAATGCAGGGATGTTGACGAGTCTTTGGGTCTGAGTCCCGGTCCTTGGTACCAATCAAGTCCAGCTTTTTGGTACCAAGCCTCAAGTCTGCGGGGGACGTGGTGGCACTGCGGGCTAAACCGCAGAAGCCTGTGCTGCAGGGTCAGAAGACCAAGCAGTCGTAAGATCAAATCCATGCGACGGAGTGAGC